CGTTAACACTAAAGCAAGAACACTATCCGGCTCTATCTTACTTCTTATATACACTCAATCGAGCCAAAAAGTTAAAATTAGAAACCTAAATAGATCCATAAAGAGTGGTTTGGTTAATTTTTTTTCATACTCGTTCTGTTATTTTTGCTCGATTGTATGAGAATGCATATTTGCGTGTGTTAGAGTCTATATGCAATACGGTTCCTAGATCAGACTTGTCAAAGGTTAAATCTCATGTTCTGACCCTTAAAACCTAACAACCCAAGAGAAAATCTTTGACTGAGACTGCCTAGGTCTGTAGAAAAGTGTGGTTGAGATAATGAAATATGAATTTGTAAGCATGATAATCAAGTTACGAAACCACATCTCTTCTCTAATGATGAGAACTTCCAGAAAAGGTAAGGACTTATTCTATTCCATTTCCATCGTGAACCTAATGTTCCTTTCACGCTGGTTGAGTTAAAATATAAAATACACTAAATTGTCCTTACTATGAGGCCAGATGACGAAATGTCAGACTGCCATCTATCTAACCAACAATTTTGGTGTTAATATTGCCTCTTGTAGGAACTTTTCCTTCAATTTTGCCACATAATTGTTCGCTAAGATGGGAGACAGACAAGATCCCATCGCGAGTCCTTGTGTTTGTTCGTATAACTTACCGTCAAAGGTAAACTAGATGGTACTCGTGCATAGATTAAAAAGTTTGATAATCGAAGCAACACTCAGCCTTATTCCTTGTGTTATTTCTGAATGTTCTTCCAGAGTTTGTATCAGAGCTTGAATAGCTCCTTGCACAGGAATGTTTGTGTACATAGTGTTCTTGCTTTAGTGTTAATGTTAGACTTTTACAAGAATGACACTAAGCTCTGATGATGTCTATCGAATGATGGACGAAAGCTCAGCACGCTTTTACCCGAAACGAGGCAGGAAGTCTTGTTGGACATGCGTCAAAATGAATATCGCATCAAAGCCAAACGGCTGCAGTACAACGAATTTCATCCGTCCTCATCTGGTGAGATTGACTAATGAATCTCTTCTTCATGCACTTTTATTCGAAAGGAAGATCCCCTAACAATGTTATCTCAGGAGATTCATCGAAACCAGGCTTCTCATGTCTTAACCTGCCAAAGATGTATTAACTTTATATTCTCTGCCCGAATGATTGTTTTGCTAATTGACTCGATCACTCAGTAAAAGACAAAATAGTGCATTTTCTGGCCCATCATATGATTATATTCAATATTTTAATGTAATTGGGCATTAATAGTTTGGTTTAATTTTCGCATATCTTACTTTTAAATCAGTATTTACAAACTTCTTTTGCTGCATTACATTAGTTGAGGGAGGCTTGAGTAATTTTATCAACAAATTAGAAATGTTCGCTACGTTGATAAAACATCGTAACTTTCTGAATCCACTTTTTTGCTTTGCTTATCTTAACTTATTTCCTTTGCTGCAGGCATAACTTTTGATATACCATTTATCATATCGCTTTGTTCTGTAAGTTATGTTCACCCGTCGGCCCATCAAAATTCCATTCAATCACTTTCTGTTGTCCAGGAAGAGGAGCTCGTCAATCTGGAGAACTCGGCCACCGTATTCAATGTTTTGTTCAATCTTCCCTCTACCATCAAAGATGCGGACAGCTTTTTCGAGGTTAGTCTGCCAATGCGGATCTCATTTGTTTCATTCCAGCCCATTAATTACCCTATTTTTTCACTACTTTTATGCAAAAAATTTGTTTTTCCCTCTGAATGACAGCCCTCTCAGATGTCTTTTGCTAGCTCCTTTCAGTCCTTGGATGTTATGCTTGTGAGCCATGAGCTGTGGGCCACTTTATAAGGTTTTTCTGGAAGACCCCAACTGCTTTTACACTGT